GCTTTTTTTTTGGGGGGGGGGGAGAGGTTTTTGCTATAGGGTGCCTATACTCGACAGAAAAACAGAAAGCAAAAAATCACCCCCCAGGGGGGATGGCCATGACGCAATCCCTTCTCCTCCATTCTCCTCTCAGGGACATTGGGCACGCATGCACACACGCCTGGCCAGAGTTTAAGCAACTGGGTCCAGGACTCGAACCACGGTCAACTACGCAAGAGTCCAGCAACATAGCCATTATGCCAACTGCTGGTCCTGGAAAGTGCTTTCTTTTTTTTTTTTTTTGGAGACGTTTTATTTCTTTGCTATAGGGCGTGTACGCTCGCCAGACAGACAGAGAGAGACAGAGAGATAGAAAGCGAGAAATCACCCCCCTAGGGGGGATGGCCACACCGCAATCACTTATCCTCCATTCTCTTCTAGGGATCTTGGACATGCACGCACATGCGTCCTGCATGAGTTTTAATCCACCGGATCCGGGACACGAACCACGGTCGACTACATGGGAGTCCAGCGACATAGCCATTACGCTAACTGCTGGTCCCAAAAGTGCTTTTTTTTTTAAGAGATTTTTCCTATAGGGCATGTGTCTCGTCAGAGAGACAGAAAGTGAGAAATCACTCCCTAGGAGGGATGATCACACTGCAATCCCTTCTCCTCCATTCTCCTCTAAGGAATTTGAGCACGCATGCACACATGCCTAGCATGAGTTTTAAGCCACCAGGTCTAGAACTCAAACTGTGGTCAACTACATGGGAGTCCAGCATGTAACCATTAAGCCATCTGCTTGTCCCAGGAAGTACTTTCTTGCTTTTCCTCTCTCCAGCAAGCATATGCACCATCTGGCAATTAAAAAATAATAATTAACAATAACAGAGGGCCACCAGGTGGCATGGTGGATAAGGGCACTGGATTCCCACATGGCCAACAGCAGTTCGAGTACTGGATCTGGCATCTTGCTCACTTTCCCTTTCTCTCTCTCTCTCTGGTCGAATAAAATAATAATAATAATAACAACACATGGAAATAAATAAATATCTTCTAAAAATAACAATAACAAGTAAAAAAGGTTCTCACAGGAGTAAAGATTTACAGGGAAGTATTAAGCTAGTGGGTGGCACATTGTACAGTATTCCTAGTATCTCCAGTCTAAGTTCTTCTGCCATAGGAAACTAACCTGGACAACATGCCATCCTGACTGTATTCTATTACATTTACTCTTCATCCATTCTGAGCAGTTTCAGATTTTTAAACTTTTGTATAGAAAAACCTTGCCTGCCTGAACTTTTGTAAAATTCTTTGTAAAAGCAAAATTAACAGCATAATAAACCTTTTCTCTTCTTAGGCAATTCTTTTTTTAATCATTTGTTTAATTTTATTTATTCATTCATTTATTTTAATTTGACCAGAGAAAGAGAGAGAGAGAAAGTGAGAAAGCAAGCCACCAGGTCCAGGACTCAAACCATGGTCAACCATGTGGGAATGTCCAGCGCCTTAACCACCAAGCCACCTGCTGGTCCCATCTCTTCTTAGGCAATTCTAAAAAGACTGAATCAGTGTAGGCCCCAGGGATTTCTTAGTCCTTCTAGAAAGGCATACAACACCCATCCGGCACCCACCCACCAGCAGGTATAAACAGAGATGTCATCTCTGAGAGTAACTCAAGGGCTAGTGGTCAGACACCCAAATTTCTGTCGTTTCTTACAAGCATGTCTAAGGCAAAGCACATGTTTAAGCTATCTATAAGCAAGGAGTAAAAGGGTATTCATACTAAACCATCAACATGGTCAAGATACCCATTTTAAAAAAAGAAAGAAACATGGGCCAGCAGGTAGTGGGGAGATTAAGGTGCTGGATCTCACAGACCTGAACCTGGTAAACCATGCCAGGCAGGCACTTGTGCATGCAAGCCCAAGAGGGGAATGGAGGAGAAAGGACTGGTGTGATCATCCCTCCTTAGGGATAATTTCTCTTTTTCTTTCTCTGTCTGTCTGTCTGTCTCTCTCTCTGGTGAGCACATATGCCCTACAGGAAAAAGAGAAAGAGAGAGAGAGAGAAAAAAAAAAAAGAAAACATAAATCCTCAGAGGTTCTAGTTAGTCACCTAGCCCTAAGTAGTAATACAAAAGCCACAATTAGAATTCAGACACAAGACTGGAATGGAAATTCAGAATGAGAGAAGTTGTGTAACAAGATTTTGACAGGCATTTAAATTTGTAAAAAAATTCCTCTTCCTGGGGCCAGCAGGTGGTGCGGTGGTTAAGGTGCTGAGCTCTCACATGTCTGACCATGGTTCAAGTCCCAGATTTGGCAGCTTGCTTTCTCACTTTATTTTTTTGGAGAGGTTTTTGCTAGAGGGCATGTGCGCTCACCAGAAAGACAGAGAGAGACAGAGAGACAGAAAGCAAGAAATCACCCCCCTAGGGGGGATGGCCATGCCACAATCCCTTCTCCTCTGTTCTCCTCTCGGGATCTTGGGGACACACGTACATGCGCCCAGCATGAGTTTAAGCCATTGGGTCCAGGACTTGAACCACGGTCGACTACATGAGTCCAGTGACATAGCCATTAAGCCATCTGCTATTCCTACTTTCTCACTTTTCCTCTCTCTCACTGTGTCCCTCTCTGGTGAAAGGAAGAAAGGAAGAAAGGAAGAAAGGAAGGAAAGGAAGAAAGGAGAGAGAGAGAGAGAGAGAGGAGAAGAGAAGAGAAGAGAAGAGAAGAGAGGAGAGGAGAGGAGAGGAGAGGAGAGGAGAGAGGGGAGAGGGGAGGGGAGGGGAGGGGAGGAGGAAGGAAGGAAAAGCAAAAATAAAAGTTAAATAATTCTAATAAATAAATAAATAAATAAAAGAGTCCTCTTCATGAGTAACATTCTTGGAAGAAAACAAAGACTTTCCAAAGTAAGGAAGTATACCTCAATGGGCTAAGAATTAAAACTCGAGACTTGGCCAGATGGGCAGTCTCCCTCCACCCTGGAGGATAATACTAAGACACCATCAATTTAGTCAAAACAACCATATTCAGGAACAATGAAACTATAGGTAGAATATACTGGCAAAATAAGCCACTTAAAGAGTTTAACTCTTAAGCAAGTCTTTTATAAGTGCAGAACCTCATCCCTGGGGGGGATGGCCACACCGCAATCCCTTCTCCTCCATTCTCCTCTTGGAATCTTGACCACACACACACACACACACACACACACACACACACACACACAAACACACG